TTTACCCAAAATGGCAAAATCAAAACAGTTAAGCACTGAGGCGGGGACACAAATTAATTTTTTTTATTAAAGACGTCTACACTGAATAACAAAGCGGCAAGAATCTTATTAATTGAATTGGATATTTTCTAATTGATCTCTTTATCTCTAAGTTGCAATGATAATTCTACTTCCTGTTGTGACCTTCTGATCTAGTTTTCCTCTCTACTGTTCCATCTTTTTTTTAAATTCTCCCTTCTCGTGATGGCTCTTGAATAGACTTTGAAGATGGAAGCCAGATGATGAATGTTGGTACGATTACTTAAGGTCTGAATGATCGTTTTCCTCTCACCATTGTTCATTTCGGAAGAAAGTGGGTATTGCACAAAACAATTTTAATCTGATCTCTTTTTAGCTGAATAACACAAAGCTTTTCAGAGATTCTTACGAAGAATGGTGTCAAAATGGCTGAACGTCTTATTTGAAACCCTGGAAAAACGAAACTCAATTAGTTCAGTGGGTTTTAGGTATTAAACTTTTTGCCGGATGGATAATTTTGCTGTTACACAATTTGGACAATTTTGCTGTTACACGATTTGGATAATTTTGCTGTTACACAATTTGGACAATTTTGCTGTTACACGATTTGGATAATTTTGGTGTTACACGATTTGGACATATTGCTGTTACAGGATTTGGATAATTTTACTGTTACAAAATTTGGATAATTTTACTGTTACACGATTTGGATAATTTTGGTGTTACACGATTTGGACAATTTTGCTGTTAGACGATTTGAACAATTTTGATGTCACAAGATTTGGACAATTTTGCTGTTACACGATATTTGCTGTTACACGATTTGGACAATTTTGCTGTTACACGATTGGGACATTTATGCTATTACACGATTTGGATAATTTTGCTGTTACACGATTTGGGCAATTTTGCTGTTACACGATTTGGACAATTTTGCTGTTACATACGGTGTATAGGGTGAGCAGAATTATACGCATGCGTATCTGACAGAATGAAGCGGTTATATGCATATAGTCTAAATGTATTGTTAATTATTTTTAACATAGAAATGAATTGAAACCCAAGCGGAAGTTGATTGGCAGGGCTCAAAATGAATAGAAACGGTAAATTGGTAATTGGTTTGTCTGAGTTTCTTCTTCTTCCATAAATGATCATGGATCTGATTCCGGATCAAAGAAAACTGAGTTTTATGCAGTTGGATACGGCCAGGAGCATTTTCATCTTCATCAATGTTAATTCCAAGAGTTTGAGGATCAGGGACACATTAACGATAATATGGGGGTCATGTTAGTTCATAAGGACATATTTACTAAAACAAGAAGAAAGGAATTGTCGTTGGTCAGGAATAAAATGTAGCATCACAGAGAGAATAGTACTATTATATGTAAATGTTAAAACCATTGACCATGCGTTTACAATGGAAATATATTGATGTTTACTCTATTATTTAACAATGATTTAAATTTATTGAATATAATTTTATTATAGAAATGCATGTACTTTAGAGAAAACTCTGTACAAAGCCAAAGTAAATTTGATCATAGAAAATTTTGCCACGAGTTTATCTAGTCGAAATATATTTTATTATTATTATTATTATTATTATTAGTTTATTCTAGTCCAAATATATTTTATTCAATTTTTTAATTTAACGACATATCAAGACTTTGTCGTTATTTACTGTTGAAAGATAATATTATGATACCTACGACAAAAACTAAAACATTGGTTCAGTTTATACTTGCAAAAAAATATTTTACCGGATTTTACTTGTATCAAAACATAAACACTGGTCGGTTTTATAATTGAATCAAAAAGTAAACATTTGTTATGGTGTAGAACCATAGAAAGATAACACGTACTTGGATATAAGGTTAAATAGTGTATTCTCGGAAACGTAGTACAAAGGTAAATGTGGACTAGAGAGTACTTTCTCTCACTGGTGTCCTGACTCACTCACTCAGTCGGTGTCTCTACTCGGTGACTCTCACTCTGTGACTCCCTTTACTCAGAGTTGGTAGCCATATTGTATAGGTATGGAAGAGTCCATTTGTAGGTAGGTCCCCACAATACCATTATAGTTTGCTTCCGGGGTTAGTTAGTATTGTTTTCCCAGCGTCTGGTGATGATGCCAAAATGAAATGCTAATATTTGGAAGACTGATTTTCGAAATAAGTAAAGATTCCTTGCATGGATATAGGTAGTTACTCGACATACTTGAGTCTTTGAGGTGTAAGCAAATCGACTTCGTTTGAAAGACACACATTTGCTAAGTTTATATTTGACATTCAGTTAATGTAGGTACCTCCACGAGATCGCTAAAAAAAGAGCATAGCATGATGAAAAAGACGTCAAACTTGACGAAAAGAAAATTTTATCGTCTAAATGTTTGTTATTATTAAGAGGAAAGGTCAAAGTATTTTTTTGGGGTATTTTTTTCCATTTTTAATCGTTCCTAGCACGTCCGAAATTTTCGTTAAAAATCTAGTTTTTTTGAGTCAGCAAAATTGACCATTTTTTCCATTTTAAAAAAAACTGGAAATCTGATTTTGAAATTTTTTAAAATATCAATTATCATTTTTCAAAACTTATTTTAAGAAAATCAGAAATTATAATGTTTATTTAAAATATTTTGAACCAAACTTAACTTAGCTTTTGTGCCAAAAAGATGCAATTTGAAAATAAAACAAAAGCAGGTCATAAACTTTCGCGTCTCTTGACATGTGATGAATGATATATTTACGAATTCCATGAGGCTAATTTGTTCTACGGAAGGAGAAAAAAGTGAAATAATTTACATTTACGTGAACAAATTATTTATCCCGTTATTTTTAACGAAAACTTTCAGCGGTCTAATTTTTTTTTTTTTTTTTTTTTTACTTAGCTTTCACCTTTACGTTTATGATGCTTTATGGGAAATATACTGTAAAGAAATTAAAATAAAACTGTTAAGAGTGACATTAAATTTCATATTTCTTAAGAAAGGTATCTAATTAATTTATAGGTACCTTTCTTATGAAATTTTATCAGAATTTTACATAAAATACTATAATTTTATGTACATTTATTACATTCTACTGTTATTTGTATTTGCATTCATTTTATTATTAATTTTGATATTTCATTTATGGAAAAATGTCGTAACTGAGATTAATATAAAAATAAGATCATATAAATTTCATAAGATGATACTGATACTTATAGGTACCCTTCTCAGTTGAAATTGAAAAATCAAATTAACTTCTCACACGTGTTTCGCAAAAGTAAAGGCCTTAACAGCGGAGAACAATGCTTAACTCAAATAACGCAACTTAATTATATTCTGGTTGGTCTTCCGTATTTTATAATTACAGCTCGATTATAAGCACAAAATTACATTTCTTAATTACTGGGGATCTTCTGATTAGTCAAAATGATACAATTTACAACGCGCTAAAAAAGATCTATCTCATAAGGACACTTATGAAAGCCGATGCGGCTTTTTAACTAATTTTATAATATTTTAACAACTTAAATGTAAAATCTATTATAATTAATGAAATAACAAATAATTGTATTAAAAATTCATTTTTCATCGAAAAAATTTTTTTGCTTTCAGAAAATATTGTCCATATTCATAAAAACAGCTAAAAGCAAATAAAAGCATTTGAAATTAAATAATATATTTGTTTTATTGAGTTTTGTATGTTACAATTCAGAGCTGATTTTCAGGTACTGCGTATCCAATTAAAAACAAAAAAAACATGATTTGCATTCCTCAAAGCCCTAATTATTGTAATCACTAAAACCGATGCGATCGAATTTCTAGCGTTTTCATAAAATTAGTTATGGGGGGTAATAAATATTTTAAAAAAAAATTTCTACCATGACTTTCATAAAAAAAAACATATTTATAGTAATTTCGATCATCTGTGAATAGTTTCTGAAAGTTTCATTAACATCCGATAATTATTTCTATTTTTGCACGGTTTTTCAAATTAATGTGTGTCATACCAAAAAAACGTGCTAAAAATTGTCTATGTTATTTACTAGTTCCGCTGATACAAATAGAAAAAGGTTTTTTTTAATCAAAATTTAGAATGTTCTAAAAAGAAGGAAAATTTTTTAAAAATAATTAAAAAAAAACTTTGGTTTTTCCTCTTAATAATAACATAAGCATTTAGACAATAAAATTTAGTTTTCGGCAAGTTTGGCGTATTTTCATCAAGCTATGCTCTTTTTTTAGCGATTTCGTGGAGGTACCTAAGTTAATCTGCCCCATTCGAATACAAGTTTATAATATGAAGGGTTAACACGACTGAACAGAAATAAATATTCCAGGGAGATTTTCTTTCGAAAGAATTCGGAAACGTCTGTATATTCTAACCGTAAAAGATTACTAGGCTCAAAAAATTAATTTGACAAAATATTTCCGTATTTTAAATAGAAATCGTTTATTCTCTGGATAAAAAAGTAAGGAAGATTTATTTAAGGAGAAGATAATGTGTATAATCCCTCATACAGGTTTTATTTAAACATTATGTATAAGGGATTTAAAGTGTAGAGTAAAGTGAAATTTAGTTTCCTTGGCAGTGGAAAAAAAAGTGTATTATTCTTATTATATTCTGTGGTTGCATCTTGTCTTAAATCTCTATAAATTCCCCGGTCTATTATTTTATCTTGATAAAAACTTCCTATGAGTTAATTAATTTAATTAAATTATCCCTGTCCACCATTGTATCTCTATAATTTTTCCTTCTCCACCATTGTATTTCTATAAAGTCTCCTTCTCCACCATTGCATCCCCTATAAATCTCCCTCTCCACTATTGCACCCCCATAAAGTCTTCCATGCCACTATTGCATCCGCTATAAAGTCTCCCTCTCCTCCATTGCATCCCCTATAAAGTCTCCCTCTCCACCATTGCATCCCTATAAAATCTCCCTTGCCACCATTGCATCCCTTATAAAGTCTCCCTCTTCAACATTACATCCGCTATAAAGTCTCCCTCTCCACCATTGCATCCGCAATAAAGTCTCCCTTGCCACCATTGCATCCACTATAAAGTCTCCCTCTCCACCATTGCATCCCTATAGTCTCCCTCTCTACCATTGCATCCCCTATAAAGTCTCCCGCTCTACCAATGCATCCGCTATAAAGTCTCCTTCTCCACCATTGCATCCGTTATAAAGTCTCCCTCTTCAACATTGCATCCCCTGTAAAGTCTCCCTCTCTAACACTGCATCCCCTATAAACTCACCCTCTCCACCATTGCATCCGCTATAAAGTCTCCCTCTCCACCATTGCATCCCCTATAAAGTCACCCTCTCCACCATTGCATCCGCTATAAAGTCTCCCTCTCCACCATTGCATCCCTATAAAGTCTCCCTCTCTACCATTTCATCCCCTATAAAGTCTCCCTCTCCACCATTGCATCTCTATAAAGTCTCCCTCTCCACCATTGCATCCCTTATAAATTCTCCCTCTCAAACATTAAATCTCTATAAAGTCTCCCTTGCCACCATTGCATCCTCTATAAAGTCTCCCTCTCCGCCATTAAATCTCTATAAAGTCTTCCTCTCCACCATTACATCCCCTATAAAGTCTCCCCCTCCACCATTGCATCCACTATAA